GGGGAAGGGTAAGGAAGGGGGGAGAGAAAGGGGGATATAATGTATAATGTATGAAGAGAGGAAATAAAAATATGCAAGTTAAGGAATGAACTGTAAGGACCCCAATCTTTTTATAATTACCCGGCTAATAAAGAACATTAATCCTCCATTATATTAATATTATGCACATCAAGACTAATTACTAATTTGCCAAGGAAACTAATAACTGCATAATTCAAGCATTTATACTCAAGGTTATTTGGAATCACACTATATTTATAGTAGTGCAATATTAATTACTTTTAATTAAGTTTTTTTTACAGCGCATAAAATTTTCAGTAGATTTTGTGCAATTTTGAGATTTTTTATCACTAGGTTTTGAGACGAAAATTACTGTTGAAGAAAACTCAATTAACAAATTACTTTGTCTGTTTGTTAGTTTGTCTGTTTGTTAGTTTGTCTGTTTGTTAGTTTGTCTGTTTGTTAGTTTGTCTGTTTTTTAGTTTGTCTGTTTGTTAGTTTGTCTGTTTGTTAGTTTGTCTGTTTGTTAGTTTGTCTGTTTGCTAGTTTATCTGTTTGTTAGTTTTTCTGTTTGTTAGTTTGTCTGTTTGTTAGTTTGTCTGTTTGCTAGTTTATCTGTTTGTTAGTTTGTCTGTTTGGGTGTTTGTCTGTATGTTAGTTTGTCTGTTTGTTAGTTTATCTGTTTGGGTGTTTGTCTGTATGTTAGTTTGTCTGTTTGTTAGTTTATCTGTTTGTAAAAGTCAAAACAGCTAAAACGATAGGACCCAAATTTTGTGGGGCAACTGACGTGCCCCCAGCGAGGGAAGATTTTTTGATGATCAAATTTGAACATTTTTATTATTGATAACAAAAAGTGAATTTAGCTTTATTTTCTTTCATTTTTCCCCACTAAACTGTCGAAAATCATTCTGCCCAGAAATTTAAAATCAATTTTTTATTCAAAATAATAATTGTTAAAAAAAACTTTCTGGACCCCCTTATATCTGTATATTCTTAGAGAAAGACCCCCCCTCCTCCAATCTCTATTTTCCCCCAGGTTTTCTTTGTATTCTCCGTGACTATTTTGAAGGTATTCTAAGAACCCTAAAATGGGTTTATCTTCTCTCTTTTAAACCACTCTCTCCATACAATTCTAACTCACCCCGATATAACACATTATACTAATGTCCAGTGCAGTGTCACCAAACATACTTGATTTAGTTTAGCCATCTAGGAGAAATTCTTAACATTTAAAGCCAAAAGTTATAAAATAGTATAATTTTCTTAAACAGTTCTGAATTTTAATTTAAACTACTCTGTCTTCATTTTCAAGTAAAACCTGAATTACACCCTATAAAATGCTATGGTTCAAGGCTATAAAGTTTTGAAATTTGTGAAATTTTATGAAATAGACGTTGTTATAGCAAATTCAGTAGCCCCTATAAATCTTAAATTTATGACGAATTTTAGACTAAAAATATGATTTTAATATTCCAATTAAAAGTTAAGGGTGATGGTTCAAATTCAGTGGGTTGCGTATCTGTTCAACCAAAAAACTGTCCCAACTCAACCAAAATCTCATATTTAGTTTTTTCCCGATATTAATCTAGAATTATGAAATTACAACTAGTCGTGCCAACAATGTTAAACCCTCCAAAGACTATGATAATAATATTGATAGGACTATCTTTCCTACCTCAGAAACGTTTGAGGTCAGAGGCGTATTCAGGGGGAGGGAGGGCTATTGGGGCTAAGCCTCCCCTGGACCAGTGAAATCTATTGATTTCAGGGGGTTTTCATGCCCCAACGGGTGCTGAGCCCCCCCCCTGGAAAGAAACAATTTAAGCCCCCCCCTGGACAAATTCCTGAATACGCCCCTGTTTGAGGTCTCCTTTCTAATTCAAATGAATCAAAATTAGCTAATTTTTAAAAAGTGTAGCAGATCCTCTAGTTTTGATTTTAGCCAAAGAAATTCAATTTTTTTATAGTTTTCAGAAAAAAAAAATTGTGATTGATAAGATGAAGACATGTAAATATTAAATTCAACATGGAAGGAATTGAGCCACAAATTCCTACATCTTTGCAACCAAATTCATTGTTTTAACTAGCTAAGATCTATGGTACTACACAAGGTTGGAAAAATATAAAGATTAGAAAATCAGAGCTTGTGGCAACGTCTCATTTCCTATATCATTCATTTTTTGACGTAGAACATCAAAAAAAGGTTTTGTGGTTTTGTCGAAAATGATTAATTTAAGTGAAAGACGTTCAAAGTTGGTTGTTCCTAAGTTCTTAAAGATGCCATTTCATACACCTTAAACGCCCCCCCCCCCCCAGTTGTTTTTTGTTTGTTTGAGAGAGTGGGGGGATGGAGGGAGGGAAGGAATTCAGAATTACAATTTTTTAAATACGTAAATATATTTGAATTGATCTAAACTATGTCTAAACGATAGTTTGGAGAATTGAAAAGAAATTTCCTTTATTTACAAGATTTCACGGATTTTTCCGCAGAAACTTTTCAATATGGTTTTGAATAGTTCCATTGAATTGTGAATTTGTAAATGCAAATTGCTATAATCTCAAATCTGGAAATTGAAAATGTTCAAAGACGAATTTCAAAAGAAGGTCAATTCTCAACACATTTACACAAAATATAGATAAAAACAGAATGTCACAAACATAGACACAACTTAATGTTTTGAAGGGGGGGGGGGGAATCCATGGGGTTGATAAAAACTCAGACTTTCTATTAACCATTGACATACCTCTGTGGTTTTTAGTTTTATAAGGGGTGTAGGATCTGAAAGGGGCCAACAAAAATTGGAAAGGGAAGGAGATATTCAGTGATTACACCCCCCCCCCCTCCTTACCCCGTAGCGTGGTCAATGGTCATGATTAATCTGAGGGAGATATCTTTGTTAACATTATTCATATGAAGCTTCTATGTGGAATATTTGAACTATTCAAAAATCTTGAAAAAAAGTCACTTGCACCACAAATGTTTCCTAAAAAAGCCCTAATATCTCAAGTTCCATGGAGAACATGTCAATGTCAATGTCGAGAATTTTCTTAGCGGTTAACCGTATTGATAATAATAAAAATAATAATAATTCCTCTTAAAAACTGTAGTACACTAACACTTTCACTGTAAAAAAAAAGATGGTTTTCTGAACTATTTTTCACGTGAAGATCCCATGACGGTTGGTTTAGTATATCTAAACATACTAGAAACATACAGTGATAACCAGAAAAATCTGAAATAGGAAGACGAAGTTTGGTTTTGGACTCAAGTTATGACCTTAAATCACAAACTATAACACAGACTGCTAATGTAATGTTTTTTGGCTGACATCTTACGGCCACTTGTTGCATTCAGGGGTTAAGTTTTACAACTCTTAAAGAAATACTCCAATTTTAAACATAAAACATAACGTTTATGAATTTTGTCTATTTTTAAAGATTTTGCATTTCCTATTCAAAGGATCCTTAAATTTCCCTGAATACAGATGTCTTCTGATTGGTCGTGTACAGTACTTGTACACAATAGAACATGCTGTGAAAAATATCGCATATTTTAGCTGATAATCGATCTCTGTAACTCTCTTATCTCTGCTTTAAATGAGACACAGCAGTGTAAACAGACACATTTCCCTGATGGTGATTTAATAATTGTTTAATAAAACTATTTGCTTTGTAACAACATCAAAAACACTTAAGTATTGCCATAAAGTCGTATTCCTATTTCAGAGTTTTCTGGTTATCACTGTATATACAAACGATTAATTACATTTGTTCTAAAAAACAATCAAAGTTTGATGAATTATTCTTTTTTATTATATTTCCCTGTCTGCACCCCTAGCCTTGAGTAAATAAATTATGAATAATAAATCTTTCAACATATTTATTTTATCTATTATTATAACCTTTTCTACTGTCCTAATTGTTATAGACCCCCGTAGACCACCGTGGGCCTAAACGACTGAATTTTCTATATATTTTCGACCTATATAAAGCACCTCATGTATATTGAAATATTGTTTTTGTGGGTGTGGGCTTAAATATCCTTTCCGCGGGCCAATCCTCTATAATTAGCTCTACAGGGTATTCAAAAAATATAAAAAATTTAAATCATAATTTTTTTCTGTATTTGATCAACTGCATGCCATTAAAAAGTCCAAGATTTTGAGGTATAAAAGTGGTATAACTGATGCTTTATTCAGCTAACTTTTTTTAGAACACCATTCATTAACGTCTTATACAAATTCTTATATTTGTACTTTTTTGTTGAAAAAAGCGTGGCTCTATGGGGGGGGGGAGGGGTGCAATCACTCCCTAAAAATATTAGGATGAAAAATGAGCATTTAAATGTTAGATAATCTATATAATAGAGCTCTTCGCGAATACATAAATGTATATTTATTTACATGTTCGCTAAAACCAAGAACCATAGGTCCCCCAGAATGGCATAGAGTAAAAAAAGTTTGGAAGTTTCACATGCAACGACAGAAGGAGTAAATTATTGATCAGTATTTAATAAAAGAAGCGTGTTAAATAATTTATTTACATCGGAATGAGTTTTGATGAATAAATCACAGCCTTGGTTATAAACATTTAGCTAAGCTCACAAAATATATAATATTGTACAGAGAGGGATCAAACATGAGAATTCAATCATAATTTTATATTCCACTGTGGTGGGTTGAATCACTTGTGGAAAGGGTTGAATTGGTCAAATTTTCATGTTTTCAGACTTCCACTAGCTGTACGACTGACATGGGTTAATAAAAACATTTCTACTTTGTATAAACAATAATTTTATTTACTTAAAGGGACGCTGACGTAAACTCAATTGAACCTCTTATATTAACAGGTACGTCGATTCACAACGGAACAGTGCGCTTTAACCCTCATAATCAAGGATGTGCATTTTCCAATAAGGATATATTCGTTATCAGTTATCAGAGCATCGTTGTGAATCTTACATGCCCCTCTTAGGATCACTTGAAATTACGCCGACAGTACCTTTCACGCCTTTAGAAATAAGAACTAATTGTAATAAAAATAAATATGAAATATAGACATGAGTGTCTCTACAATCCCTTATAAAGTGGATCCTCTAAATATAGGATTTTCAACAATAATAAGCACAATATCTATTAATTTCATACTTAGAAACTTGAATTAGACTAACTTAACAGGATAACGGTGTGAATACTTAATATGCATAACTTATAAACCAGAGATAAACAGTGGATCATCACCCCTTCAAAATTTAACTGATTTTTTGGATTTTAAGATCTAAGAGAAGTCACATGGTTGATTCATGTTTAAATAAGTACATTATTGGAATATATTTACAAGTGTTTATCGCTGGTTTGTATTTACAAATGTACATCATACAAAAATCATTAGAAATTATAACTGACTAGTAAAAATATGCCCATTTAATGCTTTATATAACTTGCTAAACATCTTTTAAGTTTTTTTATCGTTTAAACGAAAATCTTTAAGAAAACGCTCTGATAAACAAATCATGACTGTTTAGTGCTTGAAGTTGAAAACAGTTTCCTTAGCTGGAAACTAATGAAGTTCAACAACTTGATTTCTTCAAAAGTTACCATCTCGCGTTTCCACTAAACTGTGGGATTTAACTACTTTTTTATCACTTGGAGTTAGAGTATATTCTAGACTAGATTTTTATCCATGAATTCAGGACTCAGTCAAAAGAAATTGAATCTTTGCCAAAATTTTCTAATCTGTTAGTTCAAATAATCCCAAGATTGATAAATCAAAGGTTTACACGATCAGGTTCAGCAGTTATAGGAATTTATAGGACATTTGAGTCTGTTGCAAAAACTCAATTCTTTTTTTTTAAGATTGATACATAAGTTTATGGATTTTGACGAAAAGATTTAACGATTTCAGGTTTATGGATCAGATTTCAGGTTTAAGGATCAGATTTCAGGTTTAAGGATCAGATTTCAAGTTTAGGGATCAGACTTCAGGTTTAGGAATCAGATTTCAGGTTTAAGGATCAGATTTCAGGTTTAGGGATCAGATTTCATGTTTAGGGATCAGATTTCAGGTTTAGGGATCAGATTTCAGGTTTAGGGATCAGATTTCAGGTTTATGGATCAGATTTCAGGTTTAAGGATCAGATTTCAGGTTTAGGGATCAGATTTCAGGTTTAGGGATCAGATTTCCAGTTTATGGATCAGATTTCAGGTTTAAGGATCAGATTTCAAGTTTATGGATCAGATTTCAGGTTTAAGAATCAGATTTCCAGTTTATGGATCAGATTTCAAGTTTATGGATCAGATTTTGTTTTTGGTTTCCAGGTTCGGAGCCGAAGTGGAGCAAAATCCTGAGGTTTGTATTTCCTGAAATATTTTTTTATTTAGTTTATAGAAATGTAATTAATAATAACAATAATAATGAAAAGAATAATAATAATAATAATGATAATAATAATAATAATAATAATGATAATAATGATAATGATAATTATAATGATGAAAATGAAAATAATATAAAATACAAAACAATAATGGTTATATATGATAATATTAATAATAATGAACTCACGAGTATGGGCTGAAAGGAGCACCAACTATGAAGAATGGAGTCTGATTGATATTTAGCCTCCAAAGACCTCTATGGAACCCCCTGGCGTCGAGGTCCCAGATGTGTAAACACTTGGCCAAGGCCAGCCAGCTCGTGAAGTCCTTCGAGTGCTTCATCTCTATGAAGAGAACCCTTGGGTTGGTTCCGTTCTCCTTGTACATCCCGTGGCAGGGGGAGTAGTCTACAGCTACAGCACGCTCTAGTTCATACCGGAGTAATGATTCATACTCGTCACGGACTAAACTATCAACCCCGACTAGTTCCACGTCAGGGAGGGTGTTGAAGGAGTGTTTACTGAAGTAAACATCATGAAAGTATGAGTTCATGTTAACCCCTGAGGAACCAAAATGAAAGGTTCTCGACACATCAGGGATAATGCACTCCCGTCCCTTCCTGATCTCACTCAACCTCATCCACATATCCCAGTCCCAGGTTTTATCCGGGGTCGGCCACTCCGGTTCCAGCTCAACCTCAAACAGTTTTCTGCTTAACATCCAGCCAAGGCCTGGCATAGTCTCTACGCGGTACAAGGCGGAGGGATCGGCGGAGGTGTATTCATAACCAAGATCATTCCAGGCGGAGATACAATAGATACTAGGATCCTGAGACAGCAATCCAACCGTCTGGGAGAAGTAGCTGAAGAAGTCTGGGGACACGTCCAGGTCCTCCTCCAGCACAATGGCGTGGGGTGCTCTTGGGTACATGGAGAATATGGCGGAGAGGGAGATCTTGTAATGCTGAGATATTCTAGAGGTTCCTGTTCCTACTGGAGCATGTTGGACACCTCGTAATCCAAACAGTTTAGCCACTGCTAGCGTTTCCTCAAAGAACCCGTCAATGAAGACGACAATCATTTCGGGATCAGCACCTCGCGCCGACAAAAGCGACTGGAGCATTCTATGGAGGTAGTGGGGGCGATTAGAGGCGATAATGGCAACAGGTATATTATGAATTTGATTGTTAATCGCCGGAAGAGGATTAAAGACGATTGGAGCAGGATTATCACAACTACAAACTGATCCATATCCTTCAATCCTATCACAGAACTCTCTCCGCCTTTCCTCAGCCCAGCAGGTAGTTTCCGGTTCGCCTTCTAGCTCCAACTCGCCTTGAACCACCAACTCCTCGCCCCAGGAGGCGAAATCAGGAGATTTAGAATATCCTTCACTAATCAATCCTACTCCTTTTATACAGATCATTCCCCACATATCCCTCCACCCAACCCGTTCCATCTCTACTGAACCCAGCTCTCGGAATAATCGGCGGCCAGCCGCTTTCAGCTGGAAGGTTCCCTCGTCTTTGATGGCTAGCACGAATATTCGTCCGTCGGCCACCATATTGACGAATAATGTTAATGCTTCATCTTCCCGAGGAGAGTAGGTATCAAACACTCTGGAAAATAATAACAACTTATTTTATTAACAAACAAAATGAAATTGAAAACTGAGGTAATTGAACTAGGCAAAGATAGTTGAACTATCCTTCAAGTGTGGACGAGGTCACGAGAGTGTACTACCCTAGTTAAACTATTCTTGCCATTTATTAAATGCAACCTTTGGAGGAATAAGAGTTAACTTTTAAAACAAACAAAATTATTTACTAAAAGAGAAAGTTAGAATAAATTCAAATGATTTTCGAAACGAATAAATAAAAGATTAAGGAAAAAATATTGAAATAGAAAATAAAAGATAGATGTAAAGACTTTTACGCACTCTTCATTACTTGTAATTATGAACAAGGCACAAAGGAAAAACAGTTTGTAAACTTTTCTTAAGGAACATTACCTTTATTTTTTTATACTTTATTTTATTGCTTTTGTAAAATGAATTGTTTAGAATAATTTACGAAAGAGAGATTTTAAAAGTCAACGTTTGTTCAACAACTTTAAGTCAATTTTAGCTTTCTAAATAGAGAGCGTCTCATATCATATTAGATTATCTTCAATCTTTAACGCCAAAATACGCACATAACACTAAAAAAATCTAGCATTTTCTGAAAAAAAATTTTCTATTAGCCTTATTAAATTTTTCAAAATGATTCATTTTCTAATTTGTCCACCAAATCGTAATTTAGACCCATTGACGCGGTCTAATTTGATGTGGAACACCCTGTACAAATGAGACATTATATAAGTAAGAAAATGCATGTTTATAGAGTAATAGAACTAACAGTAGGAAAATACTTCATCTTCTATAAATGTATTGTTTTGTATGTTAGTTTGTATCCAATAAACGTCAACAGCAGAACTATTTGGGTATACATTTTCCGACGACCCATAGAAGGATTAGGGCCGGCAGGTCAAATAGACAAATATTTTTTATCATATATTTTGTAAATCTACAAATGAAAACAGAAAATTCGGGAAACTTTTAGTTTTTTTATTTACAAAGAAAAAATGAGACTTGGAAAGCAACATCTTTACTGCCAAAAAGGTTAACACAGAAACTAGAAACTAGAAACTAGAAACTAGAAACTAGAAACTAGAAACTAGAAACTAGAAACTAGAAACTAGAAACTAGATACTAGAAACTAGAAACTAGAAACTAGAAACTAGAAACTAGAAACTAGACCACCAGCATAAACACGTTTTTTCCTCTCACAATAAACGAAGAAAATAATCAGTAAATCTTAAATGTTTCAGGAGTAAAACTTTGTAAGTAAATGTTTCAGGTTCGAATCGAAAATAAGTTAATAATAATGACCTGCTTGCCATGAGAGCTCCTGTTCCTTGGTGGAGAACAAGAACATGAATACCTCGCCCTCCAACATCATCATGGTCCTCATACATCTAGAGTAGCTCATTTTTTATTTATTCATTCATTCATTTATTCATTGTGTTTATATTCATTTCATTTATTTATTTATTCATTGTTTCATTTATTCATTTATTTTATATTCAGCAATTCATTTCTTCATTTCTTCCGGTATTCATTTATTTATTTTTTATTTATTTATTTCTTCAATGTATTTATTAATTTAGATATTTATCTGTTTAAGTTTTCATTTACTTATTTATTCATTAATTTATCTTTATCTGTATCTATTCATTAATTTATCTTTATATGTATCTAATTATTAATTCATGTTTATATGTATCTATTCATTAATTCATGTTTATATGAATCTATTCTTTAATTCATCTTTATATGTATCTATTCATTAATTTATCTTTATATGTATCTAATCATTAATTCATCTTTATATGTATCTATTCATTAATTCATCTTTATATGTATCTATTAATTAATTAATCTTTATATGTATCTATCAATTAATTCAGCTTTATCTGTATCTATTCATTTATTCATCTTTATATGAATCTATTCATTAATTCATCTTTATATGTATCTATTCATTAATTTATCTTTATATTTATCTATTCATCAATTCATCTTTATATGTATCTATTCATTAATTCATCTTTATATGTATCTATTCATTAATTCATCTTCATATTCTTCTATTCTTTGTGTAAAACACTTAAAGTCCAGATTGGTTGTAAAATGTAAAATTCATTAAAGCACGTGATTAAGTAATAAACCTAGATATATAGAGCGATAAAATGTACCGTAAAAACTTAACCAAAATATTTTTCTTCCTGTGACTCTCATCCATGTTGCTCTCTATCTATCTATTATAATACAGAGCGTACTATATCATATTGGAGTATCTCCAAGATTTAACTAGAGCAAGTTGTACAGTATATACAGAGCGTACTATATCATATTGGAGTATCTCCAAGATTTAACGCTAAAATACTCGAATAGCCTAGTATTTTTTACAAGTGAATTTTTATACTGACCTTACACATTTTTTCAAAAGCTGATTCTTTTATCCTTAAGTTTTCTGATCAGTTCCAAAAATCGTAATTTACAGTCATTAACGATCCAATATGGTCTAGTACAATCTGTACATACAAACTGACTTTAGACTGACTCTAGACTGACTCTAGACTCTAGAATTCTGGCACATCCTACCCCTTTAAATTTGCGGGCACACTTACTTTAAAAGGCACAGACAGCAAATATGAAGAGGTTCCCTGGCAAAAGATAATGGAATAAATGTTAAAAGAACTTTTGAAAATAACTGTTCCCGAGTTGACATCTGTCATAAGATAAAAGAGTTTAAATATTTTCAAAATCAAATTTAAAAATTTTCAAGAAGTCAAAGTAAAATTTTCTGTTAACATTTTTACATTAACTTTATTTATTTAAAATGAAAAAAAATGTTGTCTCTTCCAAATTTTAGTTTTCCAACATCTTTCTAGTCACAGTTTTAACCAGGTTTAAACTTTTATGTGCAATTTGTTTAAAATGCGCAATTGAGATTGTGAGCTTTGCGAAATATGTTCCCACGCGTGATAAAATCTTTTTGAGACAACTAACTTCATGAAAACTTTTAAACAATGCACCCATAACAAGAAGGATGTTCAAAAAACTCGTGGTTGACATAAAATTAACAGAATATAAGTATTTTGGAGTTCACAAATTTCTTTTCTTAAAAAAAGATAGAGTTAATTAGGACTTGGCGAAAAGTGAGTGATTGTTAATATTTTTTGTATAAACTGGTTTTACGAAAACACATAAACCTGACATTTCGAGTTGGTTTCATGTTATAACCAAATATTGAAACAATCATTCTTCTAAACACGTGCACGTAACTTTTATTTGTTTTCCAGTTTTTTGTGTCATTTTTTTGCAATGTACAATGTACATAAAATACAGGGTTATTCATTGAGAATAAACACTGAACTAGACAGAAGCTAGAAGATGTTTAAATCTATGCGACATTTCTGGTACGAATTAGGGACCTCGTAGCTCCTCTAGTTTAAGTTAATCCGGACTTAGATTATAAATTCAAAACACTTTTTATTCTTAATAATTCTTCTTCAATAATAGAAGTTATTATTGAAACAATCTGATGCCAAATTTACTTATTTGCAGTAAATTGTATCATGTAAATTATGAATGAAAAGATTTCAGCTGGAAGCTGCCGCGAAACTCAATATTACGAAGTTTTCTGTTTAAAGTTTCTTAAAAATAAATTTTTAGCAAATATTTAACATTTTAGACTCATCAGGGTTCAGGATTTGAAATCTAAAATCTATTTAAGAAATGTTCTGGATCAAATGAATTTCATTAGAAGGGGATGATTCATTTGGTGTTCTGTCCAGTTTTGCTTCTTACAGACTGTGTTTATACTGTACAGCTTGCTGCCCGCTGCCGGCCCGGTACTTACCGGAGTTTATGGTGGGATTAATATGGCTTTTTCAGATTTGTTTTATTACGGAGATCGAGATGTATGAATAAGGAGAAACAGTTGAGCTAGGTAAAGCCAGTTGAAGTGCTTTTAAAGATGTAGTTAAACTATCCTTTTCTACATCAACTACTTCTTCCATTCATTAAATCCGGCCTCAGATGTTTTAAGAATTGTTGATGGTTCCATATTTTTATTTCGAATTATTATTAGAACTATTGATTTTATGTGCTTACTATAGCTTTTTTTAGTATTGTCATGTTTTAGGGTGTTTTCTCCAAATGAAGTTGATTTAGCTAGAAATGAATCCAGAAACTGGTTCAAGTTTATTTTAAGGCGCTGTGGTTCTCAGAAACACCATGGCGTTCCTGAATTTTGATTTTTGCAGCAATTTTCAGAAATATTCGATCTGATAAACTTCACAGTTTGGAGATTATAGTTTGTTCTTGCAAACATAAAATTGTTTTGTTATTAAGTGTAGTATAGCATATACATATGTAAATAATTAAGCAAGTGAGGAAGGGAGTAAGTATGTAGAAAGGAAGTCATTGAGTGAGTGATTAAGTGAGTAAGTAAGTGAGTAAGGACGATAGTAAGTAAGAAAGTGAGAAAGTGAGTAAGGAATACAGAAAGTTAGGGAGTCAGTAAGTGAGTAAGGAAGATAGCAAGCAAGGAAGTGAAGAAAACAATTAAGTAAGTGAGTAAGGAAATGAGTAAATAAGTGAGTAGGGGAGTAAAGTAAGCCGGAAGTGAGGAAGAAAGGAAGGGAGTAAGTAAGTAAGGAAGTGAGTAACTAAGAAGATATTGGTTAGTAAGGGGGTGTAAATAATATTTATATTTGCATATAAAATTAACAAATTGAAAGTGTCAGGAATTGCACACTTCGTTTATTGCTTTTCATTGTCCCTCTCATTACCTGCAGTTAGAAGATAAACTTACTAAATATTAATCATTGTAATGGAATTTAATCTTTGCCACAAAATCTGATTTTCTAATCATTGCAACCCAATTTCGTAGACCTTAGATATTTCAAACCGTTAATTCTGTTATATCAAATAACCCATGCTTTAAATATCAAAGGTTTACACCATCAGGTTGCAAAGATATAGGATGAGAAAATTTAATTTTGCAGCAAAGACGCAAATCCATTAAGATGTTGTATTTTAAGGGAAAAATAAATATATTCATTTCTTAGCGATTATTGAAACTTACAATTCCTCTTTTACTTTTGTAAACTTGTAGAAAAGATTAAGTTAATAAATTATTTTTGATTTATTTTCAAGAGGGGTTTTATTCTCTGTATTCTCGGTTTTCCCAGGGGTAAAGATTAAAGTGCTTTCACTGATACACTCGAAAATACAGAGGGTCCCAAAAAAAAGTCTCAAATTTTTTTATTCCCAACGGCCTACCCCCTTGGTGTGCCATGGGCCCCATTAGGGAACGTATACAATATATTTATTAAATTTTTATAAAAAAAATTCGAATTTATTTTTCAGACATCTTTAAGTTAATGGTGAAGAAAGAAAAGATATATTAAATGCAAGAATAACGGGGGGAGTGGTCTATAAGAAGTAAATGAGGAGAGGTGAGGGGGGGNTTTTTGCAATGTACAATGTACATAAAATACAGGGTTATTCATTGAGAATAAACACTGAACTAGACAGAAGCTAGAAGATGTTTAAATCTATGCGACATTTCTGGTACGAATTAGGGACCTCGTAGCTCCTCTAGTTTAAGTTAATCCGGACTTATATTATAAATTCAAAACACTTTTTATTCTTAATAATTCTTCTTCAATAATAGAAGTTATTATTGAAACAATCTGATGCCAAATTTACTTATTTGCAGTAAATTGTATCATGTAAATTATGAATGAAAAGATTTCAGCTGGAAGCTGCCGCGAAACTCAATATTACGAAGTTTTCTGTTTAAAGTTTCTTAAAAATAAATTTAGATCCTGATTTAAAACCACAAAACTTAAAAAAGGACTATTTTTTGTTTGTCTTAATAAAGATTAAAATCTGATAAATCATGCTTTTTTAAATTTGTTTTTTTCAACTAAATTTTTATAATTTGCTGATCATTGACTTTTCAAATAGATTCCAATTTTCAATATTGAAGTTATCGAAAAAATCTATTTGATGGGATGAGAAAAAGAAGCGAAGCTCACTAGACATCTTATAGTTTTATTGAAATACAAAAGTAGTCTTTCCCTTTTCTGTCTATAACTGGTTCTCATACAAGTGTAAAAACCAGGTTAGTTAGCCTTGGACCACTTTAGAAATCAACCATAATCATCTTAGTCTAGGTTTAATTTTTATAATTGGCTTTTTTTCATTCATTTAATTCAGTCATTAGATTAACTCTTTTTATTAAACTTTGATTGTTATTTATTCATCTATATTCTATTCTATATTCTATATATTTATCTATATTCTATTCTATATTCTATATATTCATATATATTCTATTCTATATTCTATATATTCATCTATATTCTATTCTATATTCTATATATTCATCTATATTCTATTCTATATTCACTTTTTCTAAAACTTAATCAATCCCTTTAATTTGAATCCATCTTCAATCCATTTCATCTATCCATCATTCATCAGTCTTTCTATCTATCTATCTCTCTATCTATCCATGATTCATCTATCTATCTATCTATCTATCCTTCTATCTATGTATCTATCTATCTACCATCTAACTACCTATCTATCTATTACTCTATCTATCCCTACTGTATAAAGAACTGGACCCTAATGAATAATGCATAACTCACCAAAGTATTATCTACTGAGACGGATACCCTATCTTTACTTGACACTACCCTATTCATCAATCAATCAATCAATATTCAAGAAGGAGGATGAGGGGGGGGGAAGGGGGAGGGTTGACAGTAAGAAATGATGAACGTTAAGTAAAGTGACCATGAATATATTCACCGTCACATACCAAATATATGTTGACTCTATATTGAAGTCAAAAGTTAAAAAAAATATTAAAAATTAAACAACTAATATTTTTTACTCTAATGTTTAAACAGAAAGTCAAGAATTTGATTAATTTTAGTTAATAAGCTGACAGATTGATTGATCGATTGATTCCTTATGTTTATATTTGTTTGTGTAAGCTCTTGTAATTTAAGCTGGTTGGAAAGACGACCTCTTCTTCTTCCCTCTCCTCTTTCTCCTTCACCTCCTCTCCTTTTCCTTTCCCCTTCTTCACTTTCCAGCTCTTCTTTTTCCTCTTCTTCTCTTTCATAATTTTCTATTCTCAAAACTTGTTTTTCTCTTCCATCCAAGACTCGTGAATCTACATCTAGGAATACAAAATAAAAGATAATTAGATACAAGCTCAGAGTATATAATATACAGAGGGATAGACATATTTAAAGATGAAAGCTCAGAGTATATAATATACAGCAGAAAAGAAATATTTTAATAAGCAAGCTCAGAGTATATAATATACAGAGGGATAGACAGATTTCAAGATGCAAGCTAGAGTATAGAACAGATAACTGTATTATGTATACTCTAAGAGTAGAAGAGTAATCCCTCTGTATTATGTATACTCTAAGAGTAGAAGATTAATCCCTCTGTATTATGTATACTCTAAGAGTAGAAGAGTAATCCCTCTGTATTATGTATACTCTAAAAGTAGAAAATTCATCCCTCTGTATTATGTATACTCTAAGAGTAGAAGATTAATCCTTCCTGGTTTATTTTTAATTCATAAACCTAAAATTCGATTCTTCCCTTGGGAAATATTTTTGTTAAAAAGCCAGGGATTTATCATATATCAACTAATTTAACACTTATATTATGAGAGGTTTAGTATTGAACAAATTAGAAGAAAAGTGTTTTTTAAGGGAAAATTAATAATTTTGGTAATGTGTTCGCTATCATTTCAAAACCGGAGAATTACAGAAAAAAAAACATTATTTGCAATCAGATTTATAAATCAGCTTAAAGGGACTGTAAGCCTAATTTCAAGTGACCCTCTATGCAAAGACACAATGCCCGATGTGAAAATAGAGACAAACAAAAGCTTGGATATCTAATTCATAATTGATCAAGGAAAATAGAGACAAACAAAAGCTTGGATATCTAATTCATAATTGAATAGGAAAATAGAGACCAACAAAAGTTTGGATATCTAATTCAAAATTGAATAGGAAAATAGAGACAAACAAAAGCTTGGATATCTAATTCATAATTGAATAGGAAAATAGAGACAAAAAAGCTTGGATATCTAATTCATAATTGAATAGGGAAAGCTTTAAAAATTACCACCGTGAATCAGGCATGGACGTAGGATCACTTAAGATATTACGCTTACAGTCCTATTAATTCGAAAAATTGTTGAATATCTAGTTTCCGTCTAGTTTTCATCTAGTTTCCGTCTAGTTTTCATCTAGTTTCCGTCTAGTTTTCATCTAGTTTCCGTCTAGTTTTCATCTAGTTTCCGTCTAGTTTTCATCTAGTTTCCGTCTAGTTTTCATCAGTTTACATCTAGTTTTCTTCTAGTTTTCATCTAGTTTCCGTCTAGTTTTCATCTAGTTTCCGTCTAGTTTTCATTTAGTTTCCGTCTAGTCTCCGTCTAGTTTCCGTCTAGTTTCCGCCTAGTTTCCGTCTAGTTTCCGTCTAGTTTCCGTCTAGTTTTATCTAGTTTCCGTCTAGTTTCCGTCTAGTTTTCATCTAGTTTCCTTCTAGCTTTCATCTAGTTTCCGTCTAGTTTTCATCCAGTTTCCGTCTAGTTTTCATTTAGTTTCCGTCTAGTTTTAATCTAGTTTCCGTCTAGTTTTCATCTAGTTTCCTTCTAGTTTTTATCTAGTTTCCGTCTAGTTTTCATCTAGTTTCCGTCTAGTTTCCGTCTAGTTTCCGTCTAGTTTCCGTCTAGTTTCCGTCTAGTTCCCGTCTAGTTTTCATCTAGTTTCCGTCTATTTTCCGTCTAGTTTTCATCTAGTTTCCGTCTAGTTTCCGTCTAGTTTCCGTCTAGTTTCCGTCTAGTTTCCGTCTAGTTTTCATCTAGTTTCCGTCTAGTTTTCATCTAGTTTCCGTCTGTTTTCCGTTTAGTTTTCATCTAGTTTCCCTCTAGTTTTCATCTAGTTTCCGTCTAGTTTTCATTTAGTTTCCGTCTAGTTTTCATCTAGTTTCCGTCTAGTTTTCATCCAGTTTCCGTCTAGTTTTCATCTAGTTTCCGTCTAGTTTTCATCTAGTTTCCTTCTAGTTTTCATCTAGTGTCCGTCTGGTTTAAATCTAGTTTCCGTCTAGTTTTCATCTAGTTTCCGTCTAGTTTCCGTCTAGTTTTCATCAAGTTTTCTGAAATTAACAAAAGAACTATGTTTCTCATAACTCTATTGTTTTTCCCTTCAATAAAAATGCCGATGTTTTTTTCTTCATTAAACAGTCAAATTCCTCAAAATCGTAGAAAAAATCAGCATTTATCACCTTCCGTGTGTACTCAATGTTCTAGAAATCCTTTTTCCAAGTTTTCAGATTTGTTCGTTTACAGGTCGTAAAAAAACTCCAAAAGTGTAAAAATGTATTTTCTGCCCACCCTGCTGCGTATACTCCGAGCCTGGGTATTGTTCCTTGGACTTAATTATTTATCCGTCGGCCCTTCAGCTCATAAACCATTCTACAGTCTTAAAATCTTATTGCTAACATTTGTTTTTGATATAAATATTTAGAAGCTTTTCAATCCATTCTTTTCACAAGGGATTAACAGGGATATACCTTTACTTATCATGATCCCTGTTCTTCCTTTCCCTTTTCTTATTCTTTTCCTTTCTTCCTTTTCCTTATCTTATTCTTTTCCTTTCTTCCTTTCCCTTTTCTTAATTCTTTTCCGTTCTTCCTTGATCCCTTATCTTATTCTTTTCTTTTCTTTCATTTGTATAAAATGTAACTTAAGAGAATATGTTTAAGATATGTGTTTAGAGAACTTGTTTAAAATGTGTGTTAAGAGAATTGATTTAAAATGCGTTTTAAGAAAAAAAATGTTACTTGTGTGTAGAGAGAATTTGAAAATGTGTATTTTAAAGCTTTGAACACACTGATAACATATACAGGAATTAATTAACCTTTCTCTAACCTGGAGGGTGGAACAAAAATGGTTAAAAAAATACATAATTCTTTTTGATTGATGGGCATTTTGAATAGGCTTTTTATTATTTTAGCTTTTAAAAACTTATGAGCGACTCTAAAACAAACAAACAAATCTTCGTCCTTCGTTGCTTGAATAATGACGTTTACTGAAACAACAGAATTTTTTACTGATATTTTTCCACCCTAAAAATATGTTAAATATTTTAGGACAGCCCTGGGCCTTCTGTTCTACTCGAGGGGAATTAATAAATTCCATGAAAATGAATTTGCTCCAGTCTTCAAGACCCCCCCCCTCTCCCTGCCGCAAAGCAAAAACAACAAAAAAACAAGTTCATCGAAGTACTTGCACATCGGCTTCCTGTAATTAAGGTTACTTCCCCTCTACACATATATGTCCTCATTTCTGTCGGTGTTTTAAAGGGAATGTTCAGATATCTGGTTTAAAGGGAATGTTCAGATATCTGGTTTAAAGAGAATGTTCAGATATCTGGTTTAAAGGGAATGTTCAGATATCTGGTTTAAAGGGAATGTTCAGATATCTGGTTTAAAGAGAATGTTCAGATATCTGGTTTAAAGGGAATGTTCAGATATCTGGTTTAAAGGGAATGTTCAGATATCTGGTTTAAAGAGAATGTTCAGATATCTGGTTTAAAGGGAATGTTCAGATATCTGGTTTAAAGAGAATGTTCAGATATCTGGTTTAAAGGGAATGTTCAGATATCTGGTTTAAAGCGAATGTTCAGATATCTGGGTAAAAAAGTGACTGTTGACGTAATTTAAAGAGTTAAATGCTCTATTGATCGTGGCACTGGCAGCCTTTAAACCTTTGGCTGTAGAGAAATGATGGAGATATCCATATTATTTTATCAATATTGAGGATTCTATTCAACAAGAGGATAAACTGATTATCCTAATTTAGCAAAGGATGAAAAGAATGATACAGGGGTAGCCAGAAAATTGTAGAATTATGGTTGTCTAACTGTTATTAATTTTAATCATACAATATGAAATATATTCATTATCTTACTTGAATAACTTTTCCTCTCACTGTTCTTATAGCTCCCATTCACCTGATTTATTTATCTTAGGACTTTTGACCCAAAAATATTCATTTTGAAGAAAAAAAAACATGACATAATATCTTTAAGTTATATTGGAAGAAGAAAGTTCATAAATCACCTGTTGATAATTCTTCTATATTTGTGTACTGTACTAAATGAATGGTAAGCAGGCCTAGCAAGCTGACCGTCACGACTAGCTGAGCACTTCGACAAACCAGTTTTCGTCGATGCCGGTGAAAACCGGTTATATATTCACTAATAAAGTTTCTAAGACAACAAAATTTAGCTTTAAATATTGATCAAATAAAATATGCATATCCTTGTGTTGTTTAAGACCCACATGTGTTGTAAAAAAGAATTGTAAAAAAAGCCAAATTTTGTTTCCTAAAAGTATGCCGATTTGTTCGAAGGATTTTCATGATTCCATTCTATGAAGCTGAAGGAGTAAAACTGAAAGAGTATTAGTTTGTTTACTCTGGGTTCCGGTGACTTCTCGGCTCCCGGATATTCTGTCCCGTCCCGTCTCTCTCAGCCTTGAATATTCCCACCTGCAGTTCAAGTAGTACTGGTCAGTATTATTTCCAGCTTCAGGTAGTTGCTATTCTAGTCGTACCGGCTCAGACAATCCAGTCAAATACGTTCCAGCCGCTTCTGGCTGGATGATCGGTCCGCGCCGTTATGAACTCCTACCAGTACAACTAGAATATATACGGGAAATTAAATACAAATAAATGAGAGTAAATTACTAATTACGCTAATATTTTGATTGATATCTAGCTAGAGGCAATACACTGAGTAATACTAATAAGAAGTATATATATAATATATATACACCAGATCAATTCAATAATCCGTCATACTATGACATTCCTGCAGTAAATTAAATACTAATATAATAGCTAAATAGTTATGACCAGAATCTGGTTACATGAAAAACTAATATTTTGATTGAAATATCGAACTACCTAAATCATTTATAAATTTCGAGCAGAATGGTTAGGATATCAAACAAACATTCTGTTAACATTGCGAAAAAAATGTTTGTTGTTTTGAAATTAAATGTTCTGAAGTTGGATATTATGAAAAAAAATGTTAGGTGTCTTTTCTTCATAAACGTAAATAGGTTCATTCATAAAAAATGTATCGTCCCGGACTTGCCAACACGACTTAGTAACCTTGCAACTCATCCAGTTTTAAATATTACTTCCGAGAGGGAAAAAAGCAAACTAAATAGCAAGCAAAATAAATAAAAATATACTAGTATTTCAAAAATATATCTCCAGTTTGGGCCTTGCACCTGGGCTAGCTTATAAAGGGGGGAAAATGCAAAAAAAGTTACAATTTTTGTACATACTTAAAAGGTCAAATTGTTTAATTTAGTAACTTTTAATTCTAAATTTATCTGGTTTGAAAATGGAGGCTTAGTGTCACAGTTAAATTACTAGACTCAAGATCATTTTAAACCAATCAAAAACATAAAAAAATCGATATTTTCTTTGGTCCCGGCCATGTTTTAAAGTAAGATTATTTAAATGGATTTTAACTAAGGTTGATCTTTAGTCATATCTACAATTTCTCGAACCATACAGTCTCTTTAAAGTACTTCGTAAATCATATTGATCTATATTATTAAGATTAAATTTGATTTAAATAGAAAGACTTTTATGAAAATCCAGTAAAGCCTGTAGCAAATATTGAGGCCCCATAGTAAATTACATTGTTGTCAACCATTAACTTCAAGAACCCCCCCCCCTCCATGTAATGTCGTCTTCAACCTAAAAGCTCCTCTCGGAGACGAGAAACCAAACCAAACAATTTCAGCCCGCTTCTCTTTGTTCTCCGACAACGGAATATAAACACTTTTATTAATTGTGAACCACTTCAAAGTTAAGCAAAGAATATTTTCATATAAAGAATTAGTGACTTTCCTTAACATTTAATTGTCACTCTTTTCAGAAGTTTTAATGTATAAAAAAGCGTCTTAGGACTCCC